CTCATCTTTGTTCTAGTTCTGGGAGTGTTTACTTTTTCCGCACCTTCTTTTAGTTTGAATTATGTTGTTTGTACTGATTTTTTTTGTGTGTGTCTTTATCTTCTAAAAGTTATTTTAATACTATGGGCTTGGCCAATTTCAAATTTGATCTGTACACAGAGAAAACTATACTGACTACACTCTGATTAAAGGATGATGTATTCAAGAAGACCTATTAAATTACTTATCATAGATCTATAAATATCAAGTTACAATAAATATCCTGACCTTCCTTAATACCTTCCTTCTCTGGTGGAGGAGTAGTGTAAACAGATTTCAGAAGCTGGGCACATAACTACAAAGTTAGTCATATAAACAATAACAAATACAGAGGGATAGAATCCATCATAGGGGTAAAGAGAATTATTTTTATCTCTTTTCATAGATATTTTTCTCCATCTTTGGTTTTTCAGACCCCAAATGGCATAGATATGCTTCTAGTATATTATACAAAATAGGCATTCAATAAATGTGAAAAATAATGACTGATACACTCTTTTGGAATTTATGTACAGCATGGTTTTAATAAAAGTGTTAATAGTTACCTTGGGCTGGGGATGTAGCTGAGATCACTTGCCTAGCATGTGCAGTGTCTTGGGTTCCATCCCAACATCACAAAAATAAATTAATAAAAAGTAAATCAACCTTTTAGGCTGGGGCTGTAACTTAGTGGTAGAGTACTTGCCTAACATGCAACTATCACACACACATAAAAGGTCTTTTTTGTGGATGAGTATATAGAGAAACCATAAACAAAGCAAAGTATTGTTATCATGTTTTGGAAATGTCTCTTGGGCTCTGATCTGCAATTTACCTGGATCAGGTAACTGACTGAAGGGAACTTCTTGGGGACCAAGCATATGATATGGAAAGCATTCTCTTTTCCTTGTCTTTAAACACAAGCTGTAAGAACAAAATGTTTCTAATTAAGATACTACTGATTTTCCCTCCATTAATCCTATCTTTCTTCAAAGCTAATGGGTGTGTATAATGACTCCACATTAAACACCCTTTTCTAGTGGTTTAGGAGATATGAGTTTTATTAGAACACAGCAGAATTCACAACCCACAACAGGGCAATTGGTTGAAGTTATTTTGGAGTTGATTTAGGAATCATTCATGAAATGGTCTGGATCCTCATCATGTGTATTATCCTCAGCCTCCTCCAAGAAGCCTTTCAGCTCTCTTTGCCTATTTCTTTTCCTAACTGCCCTTCCACCCCTTATCATTTACACTTTCACATGGTATTATAATAATCTATTTTCTTTAGTTCCTCCCATTAGACCACAAGCTCCTTGATGGAAAGTATTAAAACTTGTATAATAGTACATTTAGTGCTTTTCACAGTGTCCAGGCTAATATGTATTCAAGAAAGATCTGCTAAGTGAAAGAATGAGCATGCCTCACATTTAAATAGTGCTTTAAATTGACTGAGTACTTTCGTATGTTATTTGAATTTCATGATACTCTTTTTTTTAAAATATTCACTTTTTAGTTTTAGGTGGATACAATATCTTTATTTTATCCTTATGTGGTGGTGAGGATCGAACCCAGTGCCTCACACATGTGCTAGGCAAGCACTCTACCACTTGAGCCACAACCCCAGCCCTTCATGATACTCTTTAGGCAAGCAGGAAATCCATTTATCACTCCTGAATAGAAGTGTGAGACTAGGCTCAGAAAAACTGTGTAACTTGGGCTGGGGATGTGGCTCAAGCGGTAGCACACTTGCTTGGCATGTGCAGGGTGCACTATGTAAGATGAAATAAAGGTGTTGTATCCAATGAAAACTAAGAATAAATATTTAAAAAAATTCTCTCCTCTCTTAAAAAAACAAACAAACAAACAAACAAAAAAACCCTGTGTAATCCGAGGGCAAATAGGCTGCAATTTCAGGAGGTAGCAGAACTCTATCATGGATTCCTGCTCTGAAGTTCTTTTCCATTTTTGGAGCTATTTTGTCTCCTAAATCAAGTGCCAAGGGCAAAATAAACTTATTCCCTGAGTCCTTTTAACCCCTCCTTTTCTGCCGCCACACTTTCCTGCTGGATCTTTTAGCTTCCATTTTAGCAATCATTTTCATTTAGGAGCCATATATTTCCTATATGCAGATGAAAGATGAAAAATACATATTATTCTATTCATTCTCCAATTTCTTTGCCTGGGACTTAGTGGCTGTGGTATGGGACTGGTATGTTGCATGAGATGGGGATGAATGTTATATGTGATGGGAGGAAGATGTGACTGACTGGCATGGTCAGAGTGTACTGCTCAGAGGATTATGAGGCCAAGGGCCTGTGATACTGAGGACTTGGTCTTGAGATTCCTCTGTATACTTCTCCTAACTCCAACATTTTTCTCTAGGGGAGATCTAGATAAAAAGAAGTGGAAGAGTTGGAAGAATGATGCTCACAACAGGACTCCAGCAGATGTTGATTAAAGTATAAAAGGCTTTTTTTTTTTTGTACTGGGAATTAAACTCAGGGATACTCTTCCACTGAGTCACATATCCAACCCTTTTTATTTTTTGAAGCTGGGTCTCACTAAATTGCTGGTCTCAAACTTGCAATTCTCCTGTTTCAGCTTCCCAGATTGCTGGAATTACAAGTGTGCATCATCACCAGGCCCTGCTTGAGTGTTTAGAGAAAGGGTGAGGTGGTCAAGGTCAGGGTGGAAAGTAGTCAGGGCTAACTTGCTGACTTTATTTAATTGTATGTAGCTGGACTTAACTATATTCAAGTATCCTTTGCCCGGAGGCAAAAAACAAACAAACAAACAACAACAAGAGCATTAATTAAAAAAAACCCTGCTGGTAGAAGCTAAGGCTAGGGCAAAGGAGATAACCCTTCAACTGATCTTTAAAGCAGAGTTCTTTCATTGAAACAAAATAGGCAAAAGTAGTATAATTTTATAAGTTCAAGAAAAAAATGGGTAAAAGCAATAGTTTTATAAATTCAAGAAAAATGGAATACCATGGATATTTGTGAATGGCTTAGATGACATATCAAGAAGTTAAAATGAGGATAACAGGGGCCTGGAGGTATAGCTTAATGGCAGAGCCTGTGTTTAGAATGTACAAGGCCTTAGCACAAACAAAAAAAGAAACGAGGATGACAACAGAGCTTGCTGGTTTTGAGTTGGCTTCATACACAACATGCAGATCATAAAGCACTAGTAACAATGACATCACTCCATATATACTTGCTTCCTCATATCTAGTTCACCAGAAATAGATACACATTTTATATATAGAAACTTAAAAGATACACCCATAATAGGACTTACCAGTTAATGAATACTTAAAATATATCAGGAGTTTTACTATATTTTACTCCTCAGAGGAACTCTGTGATAATAAGAACTAATATCTTAAGTTAACAGATAAGGAAATGAGGTTCAGAGCGCTCAAGCTGCTAGCCCAAGGTCATACCATAGTAAGTGGGATTCCAGAATCCTCACCATGTCTGAAAGTGAACCTCGTGGCTCTTAATTCTTGGGTTAAATTGCCTCAATGACAATACACACACATCCAACTTAACCATGGCTAAGGGCTCCCTCTTCTGCCTAATATATGTGTGTTGCACAAACAGACACACATTAGTGTCATACACTTCTTGTATGTTATTTATGTATTCCTCCTATGCCTCTAGAGGGCAGAGACCAGCTCCATTTTTTGTCCCCATATCCTCAGTTACACATTAATTGGTGCTCAGAATAATTTGATCAAAGGCTAGGAGTAAAAGGTACAGGGGCCACCATTTAACAATTTCATGACAACTTAGACCTGTGCCTAAGCCTAAGCGCTAAGGTACTATGTGTCCTTCCTCTCACGGGATTTCATTGCTGAGTTCGCGGTCACGACCAAGGATGTAAATCATCCAAAGGATATTTTACTTCAGTGTTCCCTGGTAGAAAAGAAAAACACAGTCGCAGGGCCCCCTGGTCTGCAGGGTTTTGACAGTCCTGCAGCCCTCGAAGACAAGAAAAACAAGAAAGAAGTAGATCAAGTGTAATGCTTTCAAGGGATTGAACTTGACTCCCCGGAGGGCTAGGGCCGGCTGTGATGGGAGATAAGAGCACAGAGCGCCAGGCGCACAACGACGATAAAGGGGTGTTGCCGCCTAGCCTAGCTGCCAGCTTTTCCACGTGTCGCTTCACTCGGACGCCAGGCGGTGGAGTTTCGCCGGCGACTAAGAGGAAAACGGGGCGCGCTGCCTGGCCTCCAGCTCTTTTGTCAAATGCACCCAAGTGTTCCTCGTCTGCAGAATCCGGTTCCCGAGGGCAGACGGGGTTGTCTGGGCTCCGCGATTGCCCCAAGATGAGGGCTGCGCGGTGATAGGGTTTCCTAACATAAAACTCAGGCCGGCTTCCCCGGCCGCCCAGGTCCCTTCTCCTTTCCCCTCAGCAGGTGGCCTAGCTCCCGCCTACTCACACTCCCCTTTTCTCCCCTCTCTCGCCTCCGCCTCCGGGCCTGGGGGCGGGGTGAGGGTTTCAGACTGCGCGAGAGTTTCGCCCAAATCCCGCGAGATTCGCCTGCTGCCGCTGCCGCCGCCTCTTACGTCTTTCCCTTTGACAAGTCGCCGCCGCTGCAGCAAAAATAAAGGACGCGGACACCGCAGCCGCTGCGAGCGGGGCTCGGGTCGCCGGAGCAGCACCCCGCCCCCGCCAGCTCCGGAGCCGCATACGGTAACGCCTCCTCTTGCCCTCCTGGCCGCGGATGTGTGCGCTCGGCCGGCCGGGCAAGGCTGACTGGGGCCGTTCCGGGGCCGCCGCGGAACTGGGCTGCCGGGGTCCCCGGTGGGCGGCCGGCGGGGGCCTGAGGGAGCTCTCCCGGCGCTTTGCGGACTCCCAGACCCGAAGGCCACCTTCCGCCCACGTTTCTCCGGCGCAGCTTTAGAAGTCTAGCTGCCAGTCCAAGAGGGCCAGGGGACCCGCCCCTTAAGCGGCTTGCTGTACTAGCCCCTCGGCCCCTCAGGGGTCACGTCTCTGACCTTCTCTCTCACCCCTTTATCCGCTAACGAGCGCCCCTCCCCTGGCCGGGGCTTGGGTTGGGGGGCGGTGGCCAGACTCTGTCGGGGTACAAGCGAGCCGCCACCCCGGTGCCTATGTCGCCGACTGACTTTTGAGGACGATGTATCTTTCTCCTCGCCTCTGCCTTTGGGTGGAGGCAGCTCATCATCTGGTAAACCTTTATTCTCTGAATCTTCCGTCTCAATAAAATGACAATTTTAACGCTTTTACTAGCAGGAGGGGAGACAAGGCTCATTGTGTATTCTCCAGGATAAGATGAGGATGATGATGATGATAGGAGCTATCCCAGGGAACATGGTGAAATCTTTTCTGCGATGGGTGGCAGGTTCCTGGGAGACACGAGGAGGACAGGAGCTGGTACTACCTCTCCCCGGAGGTTATGTAAAACATATGCTGTCTCTCTTAGCTGTGAAATACAGGGACAAACAGGCACAAAATTTGCCTTATTAAAGAAAAAGGCTATAATATTTTGAATATTATATATTATAGACAAGTAATCAAATAATAGGAATAACAAATCTGAACAAACAAGCCCATCTCCAGCGGTAACATTTCCATGGCTAATATTTTGGTGTTATTTCCTAACAGACACAGTATTATTCTTTTTTTTTCAAGTAGTACTTTGGCTCATCCTTTCAAAGGACTTCCCAGTTCTATATGGATTCCAAAAATGATTTGTTTTATTTTAATTATTTCTTTGGCCTACTTGACTAAACTGGTTACTTGTCCATCATCACTGGCTATACCCTGTTACTGGTAACTCTCTCATTGGGTCTTTTTCCCACATGATTGTTAGACAAATGGTCTTAAAAAATTAAACGTTAAAATTATTTCTATTATATGTATTTTTACAGTTCTGCTTGTGGTGAGTGTTGAAAAAGGGGCAGTGTTTGTGGGAAGCAAAGAAGCTATGATTAATCACAGTGGGAAGAATTTGCCTTAAGGTTTTATAAAATTGATTTTCTTTGGTTATTTTTAGACCAAATTATGAAATTATGTGACACTGTTTCATAGTGCATTTTTTGATTAGAGTGGAATGGGGTGTACCTTTGATTATGTATGTACCTTTAATAGTTTTGTGTTTATATCAGCAAAAGTGACTAGGGATGTAGCTCAGTGGAACAGTGCTTGTCTAGCATGTGTGAGGCCCTGGGTTGGATCCTTAACAACACACACACACACACACACACACACACACACACA